ATTTTTTTAACTATTAATAATAAAAATTTTAATTTGCTCTCCTTTAAATTTATTTTTGCACTCCCAGATTTTTTGTTTTGAAACGTCACTCACCAGCCAACTTGTCCACAATTGTCAATTAACAATTCAACACTTCTTTTATTTTATTATTAATTTTGTATATTAATTATTATCATTCTACAATTTTAATTGACCCATATAAAAGACTTCAACTCTCTTTTATTGTCCAGGCTAGGGCTAGGGCTGGTATTTTTTGACCGAAAACTAAAAATCGAACCGAATCGATGAGAAAATAAATCGAACCGAACCGACTTATGCGTAATGGTAACCGAAAATCGGTTACCGAAATGTTATCGGTTCTGAACCCATTAGGGTTCGGTTTTGAACCCATTATGTCATGTCTTTTGCTCCCTCTCAACTAATTTTCTGGTTTCGCCCCTGCATGCACCAAGTTGTATTGCTGCCTATATCACCTACTCCCAGGACCACCTCCAGATGTACTTTGTGCGAACTCTACCTAGAGCTCATTTAAAAGTACATTTAACTAGAGTGACGTATTGTCATGTCGAATGTGAAGGGCTATTAGACACCTTAAATGTGGATGTGAAATGATACCTCGATATTCGAGAAAGGTACCTCATACGTTGTGCGATCGATTGGACTTCTTCAATCTGGGCCTCAATTTTTCCTCATCTAACTGTTCACAATCCTTTGAATCGGGTATAAATACCTTCCCTATTCCTATCATAAAATTTTTTCGTGCCACCCCAACATTTCTTGTTCATATGTCTTCAGAACTCCAGCGACCTTGCCTTTTACAACTCCGACAACTGCTCACTCTCCGATCTTCAGATTTCTTATGGCCATGGGTGAGTTTTTCTATTTTTTAGTTTTTCGAGTTATCTTCATTTGATTTGTCTTTCTATTTATGATTTTTTGCTTTCACCTTCTTCTTTTGTATTTTTCTAAGTTTTTTTATATTGTTATGTTTGATCCTCTACTAGAATTTTCAAACCCCACGTACTTGTTATTTTTAAGCTGCGATTTTAGATATGTTTGGCTCACACTTGAACAGCTCGCGACCAGATCATCAATTAGCGCTCGAATAGTTCACCCTCTGTAGAACTAATAAACCCCGAGCTGGCTCTCATCGAGAAAGCTGGTTCTTCTATAGGACTCAGGGATGACCTAAGGGTGAGGTCGACTGGATGACTTAGAGCCAACTTAGAGGTCTCCAAGTGTAGATAGCATATCTCAAGGTATATCTTTTTTGGATCGGAGACCCATCAGGCCGGGCACGAACCAGGATGGCCATGTGTAACTAGACCCTCGACAATATCGAGAGGTAAACCGCGAGATGTGTCTTACTGCCAGTCGTCCTGTCCCATTTTATACCCTAGCGGCTAGCGCCCCAGAAGGTCTAACGCCACAGAAGTAATTATCAGCCTGTCTCATTTTCTCTAAATGAGGAAAAAGCTGCCGAGGGTTTCCTCCCTTTGGGATTAGATTCCCCTGTGCAGTGCATTCGAGCCCGCGCGCGTGGTGGTCGTGCTACCAGCAGGCTATGCCCGAGACAGACGCTAGTGTATCTTCACCTATAATTTGATAGCTTACCATGAATTACAACATGCAGTAAAATATTTCATTCACATTCAATTCATACTTAAAATTTGACTAAATTTTAACTCTAACTCCACTATCATTAATATTATTAATATAATTAAATAATACAAATCAATCATTCTTATAAATAACATCACATTATTTCAATATTCATTCACTCTCATAATTTTAACTAATCATCATTTCACATCGCTCATTTCCTATTTTTACATCAAATCAACTTTAATTATTTTATTTAAATATTATTTTACTATAAGTTTTAAATTCCACGAACAACTAACCATACCAACTTTTTTAAAAAATAACTATAATTAACCAAAAAAAAACTTATTTTAAACAGATTTATTTGTTAACAAGCACGCCCTACCTAGTTTGTCGTTTGGAGTTTTTACACATTGAAAAATTAAATAACTAAGAAATAAAACAGAAAAGCAAAAGCAATATCAGCCCATGGCATTGGAAAAGCCCATAGGCGACGGCCCAAAGGAAATGTTGAAACTTGAAAAAACCACCGCGCCGTCGCTCATGGCCGCCACTTTCGTTTTCCCGCCTCTCCATCCACCATTTTAATACCCTATCTTCCTCCGATTCTCATCCAACTTCACAGTCAATCCACCACCACTATCCTCCCTTCTCTCTCTCTCTGTCTTTAGTGTTTGGACCTTCCGTTTCTCTCTCTAAAACCACCCACCCCCATCCTCTCATCACAATGAAGACCACAGCCGGAAGCGGCGCTTTCCGATCGCTGACGCCATCTGCGCCGTCTTTCTACACGTACCTTAAGCCGGGAGCCCTCGCCCAGCTCCGGTACTCGAAGACGACCGCCAGATCTAAAGAGATCGGAGCCCAGACTCTGCTTGCGCTGCTTCAGCTTGAATTGAGTTCGAATTCGGCTTTTCCGCAACCGCATTCGGATGGTTTGGCCATGGACGGGATCCCGTGTTTCGACGTCAGGGTCAAGAGTTATCCTAGGTGCCTCCAGCGCAAGAAGCTTGTGGCCTTGACGCCCTTTTTCTCCGAGACTCAGACTTGATCTTCTTTAGTTATGTAGATTTTCTGTTGATTGCTTAGATCAGACTTGATCTTTCTGTTTTTTTGGCCGCTGTTTAGTGTCCGATTTGTTGTCCGTACTTTCCTGTAATTGATATACAAAAGAAGTTAATAAAGTGAAATGATTTACATGTGTTCTGAAAAGATTTCTGCGTTGGTCTCTTTGTTTATTTTTGGTATTTTACAACACTGATCTAAGCTACATACATATAAATTGCTATTGATGAGGCTTGGATTTGATTATTATTTGGTGTATCTAAGGTCTCTGATTATATGCCTCATAATTTTCTGATATTCAAGTTGATGCTATTTTGTTGTCATCATTAAATTTGCGCATCGTTTCGTTTATAAGGTAGAATTTTTTATGAGAGCATTTATGCAGTTTACTAATTTCAACTCTCTTGATTCCTAAAGCCCTTTAACATGTTTGATTTCTGATGGTAGCTTGAGATTGTGTAGGAATAAGGTGATGCGGAGTCGATTTATGATGATGACTGAGAGATTTTGTAGGAATAAAGTGAGGCTGAATCTGACAGGATAGTTGAAGGGGGCTTGCACAAACTCAAAGGTTTATTAATTTTTTACAACCTAGTTTATATGATTATTGCCTTTAGCTGTGTTCTCTCCCTGTTCTCAAGGGGAAAAAATACCTTTAGCCCTACAGGGAGAGAAGTCTCTTAAGAATCGACCCAACGTCATCTTTAATGGGAGAAGATTATGTTTCGGTCTTGCATCTTTTTCCTTATTTCAGTTAACATATACATTTTTGGGTGATATGCTATGTGGATTATGCTTTCATTCCCATATATGAGTAGATTTAGTTGACTAATCATTGATCCTATAGAATCTTAATGCGTAATAAATCAGTGCATTGACGTCGATCTTTGAGATGGTAGTTAGTATTTACAAAATCTATATCACTTCTATTAGATACGATGCTGCCGTTCTATTGTATATAATTTTGTTATTCTGATGGTCTGCCTTGGGTGATTACTTGTTGATATTTAAGGTTTAGTTATTAGCCATGTCAGATGCATGTGATTGAAAACAGAAAAAATAAAAATAAAAATTGAAGAACCTGTTCAAATAAATGTGGAGTTTCACAAATCAGCATGACCACTGGCGCAAGCATTGTCCATGTCCTGCTTCACTGATGTTGATCTTAGGAGTTGGAATTTCCGAGTATGAATATCCGAGGTATAATCTATATTGTTCATCCTGCAGCTACAACTTAGTTGTATACAACATATAGTTTTGCTGTTCACTACAGGGATTGTTATCCTCTTACATATAAGGTCCAAATCTTATATTTAATTGGATTCCCAGGTGAAAATAGATTAATTTTTGGACCATTTACCCAAATATATTTTTTTTTAATGAACCAAAAGATTATTACCTGAAGGATGACAGACAAAAAATGAGATGCCACACAATCAACTCGGTTCTCTTATTATTTCGTCTGATCGAATCCAGAATACAGTCATTACGATCTAATTGATGATGCGAGGATTCCAAGATGAAGGCTGGGGCAGTTATTAAAGCATTTGATTCACATATGTAAAACTACGATTTTACTGTGCAATAGTTGTGTTCCTTTTGGTCAGCTCACTTGTGTTTTGGATGTCTATGCCAGAAACAAAAATTTGTTTAGCGCGCAGTTATGATTTATGAAGCAGAATATACTTGATGAGTCCTGTTTGTTCTTGAGTGAAAATTGCAGTTCAAAAACTACCAAGACAGCTGCATCACATGGTGAAAACATGCAAGTAACACTAAAGTCTTGCATGTTTGCAGCTATATGCTGACATCAACTGGAGTTATCATCTAGTACATTGGTCTTAATGATTTTGTTGTGTTTATTCGCAGTTACTTTGCTTGCGCTCAGCAAAAATCAGTTGGTTCGAAACATTCATAATCAAAGAAGTTACGGGTGATGACAAGTCCGTCAGGTAAATTTCAACCGAAAGTACACTCCACATGGCAATAGCTTTACATCACAGCTGATTATACAATGATAAATTTGTTCTTGTGATGTGTTACGGATGCTTATCGATACACTCATTGCATACCTTGGAGAAAGCAACTTCAAACAAAATGTTTGTTCATTGCCTGTACCCGAAAATTTTGCTAGACAGGACACTTTTCCTTGATATATATAAAATTCACATATCATACATATATATAGAAGGGAAGTGGAATGCTCTTGTTACAAACAAAAAAAGCTGTCCTCATCTTTCATGAAACTTATACATGTTCAACAAACAATCACAATTGAAATAGTTTTACCACAACTAATACACAACTTGCTCTTCTTCTTCTTCCTCAGCTCAAGCCATAGCATCTGCCCCAGCCACAATCTCCAGAATCTCACCCGTTATCTTCGCCTGACGCTCCCTATTATACGCAATCGACAAATTCTTCTTCAACTCAATCGCATTATCCGTGGCATTACTCATCGCGCTCATCCTCGCCGCCAGCTCACTCGCCAACGACTCTTGCAAAGACCTCAGAATCTGACTGTTGAGATAAAGCGGCAGCAAAGCATCAAGAATCTGCACCGGATCCTGCTCGAACTGCAAGATCGGGGAAAAATCCGACGTTTTAGTCCTCACCACATCCCTCTCCACCGTCAGCTTTCCCTCTTTCGTCGTGAGCCGGAAAAACTCGTCCTCAGCCGCATCCACGCAAACCCCATTCACATCACAGATCTCACCCTTGGGCGAAAGCGGCAACAAAGTGTGTATAACAGGGTCCGACTTCACTAGCGAGACGAACTTCGTGTAAAGAAGCTCGACTTTATCGACTTCCTCGCTCACGAAGAGAGAGAAAACATCGTCCGCGATCGCTTGTGCTTCTTTCGCGGTCGGTAGCGAACTCCCGTCGAGAAATTTATCAACCGGAATATAAGGCCGGCGGATGAAGTAAGCGTTCCCCTTTTTTCCCACGCTTATGACCGTATAATCGATCCCGAGCTCTTTCAACTCTCTCATTCGGGCCTCGGATTTTCGTATGACGGCGTTATTGAAGCCTCCGCAAAGGCCTCGATCTCCGGTGACGACTACTAAAGCGACTTTTTTGACGGGACGGATTTTTGTAAGTGGGATGTCGATGTCTTCGGTTTGGAGTTGTTCGTTGATGTTGTAGAGGACTTCGACGAGGGTCTCGGAGAAGGGTCGAGCGTTGAGGACGGCTTCTTGGGCTCGACGGACTTTGGCGGCGGCCACCATCTTCATGGCCTCGGTGATTTTTTGAGTGTTCTTGACGGAGTCGATGCGGACACGGAGCTCGCGAAGGCCGCATTGGATTTGGGTGAGGGGATGTGAATGTGATTTGGAGGGAGTGGTGTTGTTGGGGATTGGATTGGGGAGTTGTAAAGGGCAGAGGAAGGAAGTTTGTGAAGGTTTGGAGGAGACCCACATTGTGAGGTTTGAGCAAGTTGGAAGAATTGGGGTAAATCCTTCAGTTACCGCTGTGTTATGATTTTTTTTCAATTTTTTGATGGAGATTTCAAATTTTTGGTCATATGGGCTCGTTGGTAGTGCGTTTTCCAGCTACTGTACATTAACTTTTGTGGCTATTGAAATGAGTATGTGTGATGTAATTAATTTTATCTTGAATATTGAGTGCTCTTGCTCCGGTTGTTACAGTGGGCCGGGCTTGTATGTCATGACCCAAGCATATGGACTCGAGTTCTTAAATTGGGCCCGACCCAATATGCCAGAAGTTTGAAATGAAGATCTGGGCATGAACTTTCGTTCTGACTCTTTCTAGTCTTAAAAAATGGAAAACATAGATCAAATTAAAGTGTTCAGTAAAATACTTACGAGCATATTTCTGTATTGTGCAAAAAAAATAAAAAAATAAAAAAATTGAACATGGACGAGGACTAATTAACAGCACGAGAAAGAAAATACCAGCATTACACATTAACAATAATCTCAATATAATGACAGATAAATGTCATTACCACAAGATTTAAACTGTTTTTATATCAACCACTAGTACACCTACCATGTTCATGCCTACCCTGCACTTCAATCTCCTTCATAATAGCCGGCCTAATAATCGCTTCATACGTCTGCTCGTTCAGGATCACACCATGGACCACCAAATAATCATGCATTTTAACGACCTCTTCATAACTACTCATATTGTTTATGTTTGTCACCATAGTCGTGTACGTAACCTCATCAGGCGTAAAACCTTCCAAAACCATAACACTCAAAAGCTCCTTAGCATGCTCGAACAACCCGAATTTGCAGAAAAGATTAATCATGATATTATACGTAATCTTATTCGCCTTAATCCCGAATTTTCTCATATTCACAAACAAACCAAACGCCTCCTCAATCTTGCCACTACAACAGTAGCCGCTCAACAAGGTGTTAAACGTCACAACGTCGTATATATTCAACCTTTTCATCTCCTCCGCCAAAAATACCAAACAATCCACCGATTTTTCCTTGCAAAAGCCATCTAAAATCGAGTTTAGAATCACCAAGTTTGGATTTTTACCCACCCTAATCATGTCATTATATATCTCAACCGCATTTTCAATTCCACTCGCTTTGCGATAACTGTCGATCAAAGTAGCGTACCCACATCTGGAACGAGCCCTCGTATGAACATGCTGCATAGGACTTGTTTGGCCCCACGTATATCTTTAGTCCTCAAAAGATAGCTCATGATAATATTGTGACAGAAAGCATCTTTAACGGAATTCTTTTCCGCAATCCAATTGTGAATCCTCAAAGCCTCGTCTATTTCTCCATTTCTGCACAACCCTTTAACAATAATCGAATGCGTGACTTCATCGGGAGGCACGTGATTTTCCATCATATTCGAAACCAAAAACGAGGCTTCGCTGGCATTTCCCTCCATATACAGCTGGTGTATGAGCGAATTGTAAACTGTGGAGTTGGGAGTAAAACCTTGCTCGATCATTTTTCCACACAATCTAAATGCATGCTCGATACATCGCGTATGTCCTTATATTAGGGCTCAAACCCGTCTCGACCATTTTATCAAGAATTACTTCGGCTATTTCAGGATTACCTTTCTTGCAATAACCGTTAACAAGAGAATTGTAAGTGACTATATTTGGGGTAACGTGCCCCATTGACATAATCCCGATTTTCTGAACAAGTTCTACTGCTAAATCAAGATCATTCACCTTACAAGCCCCATCGACAAGCACATTGAACCCCACCACATTAGGTACAATCCTCCTCTTCAGCATCTTGTCAAAAGCAGAAAAAGCTTCCGAAAATTTACATTCTTTACATAGAGCAAGAATTAGCAAATTAAATGTATTCACATTCTCGTAATACCCGTAAGAAATCATTTCTCTATATCTCATCCAAAAACGACCAACATCACCTGTCTTCAACAGGTGGCTCAAGAAATTGTTCCAAGCATGAATGGAGACCCAATAGCCCTTCTCCACTCCCAATCTCTTAATCACCTCATATGCATCATTAGTCGACCCGATTTCGGAACAAGCTCTAACCAATGTATCAAAAACAGAGCTATTCGAAAACCCACCTTCATTACGGCTATTGATCAGAGCTTCTGAGATATCCAGAGGCGTGTGGCCTTTGAATATCATCAATTGTTTCGTCAAGTTCAATGCATCTTCATAGTTTTTACTGCCCACCGTCACATGAATCATAATACAGCAAGATTCTAGAGAACAAGAAACAGATTTTTGTCCACCAATTCTTTGGTAGAACTCTAAAAGAAGCTGTGGCGAGCTCCGAAACTCTCGGATAACACGAGAATGCAAGGAATTTGAGAGTTCTGAAGACAGCCGGTCCAAGAAAGTCCATTTTTTTTGCCTAATATTGACGCAGACAGCCTTAAAGATGATATCTTCAGCACCAAAGTTCTTACTGAAATGAAGTCCTCTCACAAAGAGGTTTCTGCTTTGAGACGAACACAAGCCCAAAAACATAGAAAAGATGAAACACAGTTCATAATAGCAGCATGGGCACTTTCTGGAAAATGAGATATCACCCAATTGGGAGAAAGGCGTTTAAAATATCCAACAATGAACTGCAGTTTCAACTTTCAAGTGAAGCGTAGATGAATCGACCTTACCAAAAAACCTGTTTTATCCAGCCAAAATAAATAAATAAATATCAATCAATCAAGTGCCAAACAGAAAATGAAATGTGATCGCAGTGTATCAAAGCCATCCCCAGAGACTATTAGGGTTTTAGTCGAGGAAAAAAGGGTGGGAATTTAAGGATGAAAATGAATTCAACACTGAGATACAGAACTGCATTTGTTTTTGTGGCCGTTTGGGCTGGCAAAGGTACAGCACAATTTAGGCCTGGATTACAAAAAATGGATAGTTATAATTTTGGGCCAACTTTGACGAAGGATTTTGGGCCGAAAGCCCGATGGATGTTTTGAATGAAATTTGTTGGATTGGGTTTGAATAGGACAGGAATAATCTAGAGAAAATTGCACTCTACACTATACTTTTATGTTTTATTTACATTATACACTCCTCATATAATTATTTGCACAAACGCTAGAATAATTATTTAATCACTAATTATCTTATTTAATAACTAACTAGCGAGAGTTATGGAGAACGGTCAATTTTTTCATAAAAAACTGAATCCATATTTTTATGGTAATAAAATCTTTCTCTCTCATATCTCATTAACCACCCACTAAGCCAATATATTTTTCCCTTAACTTCAATCTCGGTCTTCAAGCAAAACTAATCAAAGGTATGTATATATGTTTAGTATATGTTTTGTATAAGTTTACAACATGTTAGTTTATTCTTTTCATATGAATGTTTATGTTCAGTATATGCTAAGTATACATTCACTAAACAAATTATGCTAAGTATATATTCACTAAAACATGTACGATTAATAAACACAAAAAAAAATGCTATGAATAAAAAAAAATCATCACAAGACCGAAAAATATACAATCAATATGCATATAAAAAACAATACACGATGCAAATACAAAAAATAAACAATAAAAAAAAGAGATTGTCGAAAAAAAAAATACCTGCTTGATCGTGTATATTCTGTGTTTTGAGAAAATTAGTACGTTTGAATTTTCAAATTCTAAATCTTTCCATTTGATATGAACAAAATCCTAATTAGTTAAGGTATATAAACTTACCATAATTTTTTTTAGTGCAAATACTATACATGCGCAATTTAACGAGCTTTTCTACTTGTTTGGTAAGTGATTTTTTATTCCTTCACAAATAAATATACTGCGCAATTTAAGGAATCTTCAATCTACTTGTTTGGTAACTGATTTTTTATTCCTTCACAAATAAATGTACTTCAAGTGGTAGACATGTAAATAAAATCTCTCCCTTCGCAAAATTGTAATTACTTTAAATTCATGTGGTAAAGAGAAAATTTCGTCAATAATCTATATGGACAAAATGTATTATGAACTTTTTGCAAAGATGCAATAGCTCTTAAAATATAATGATATGAATAATTTCACTTCATGAGTGTTTATAATCCGGTTTTGGTTCTGAAAGTCACCTGGTCGAGAATCAGTGAGTCCCGGCGATGTTCTTGAACATCTTCAGGGTGTTCAAGACATCAAAAGACACTTTACGAGTAGGATTGAAAATAAAGATGGTCTAATATTATTTGTTAATTATTTTTTCAATTTCTCATTAAAGAAAAACTATAATTAAAAGTTGAAACTTGTTCACAGATTTATCTAATCAAAGAATGACACTCCCACCAATAATTAAAGGAAATATGGGACCACTCAATACATGTGTACATGCATATGAGGGTGAAATTGGGCCTTTCAATCACATTCAGTCCTTGTCAATTTTGAAAATCCTTGGCTGCTAATAATTTATTCTTATTTGAGAACAAAAAATCCCTCCAAAAATATCAATGAAAAATAAGCTTCATCTTTGATCTTTTTATTCTTCATAAATATACAAAAAATTCGATTAATGTTTGGGTGTTGATACAATTTTGTACATCAACAATGACGATCATAAAATTCTAAATGGTTGGACAATTATACATTTTAATATATACATATATACATTTATATTAAATATTGAAATATCATGTTATACAAACTAATATAAATAAAATTATTATCATAATTTATATTATAAGTATATATTTTTATTAAAAAAGTATTACGAGACTTCCGACTAACAATTAGACTGTGACATACACAAATTTAATTGTTTATATGTTGATAAATGACTGCAGCAGTTTATAAAATTGAAGTATATATATATATATATATATGTCACAAATTTAATTGTTTATATGTTGATAAATGACTGCAGCAGTTTATAAAATTGAAGTATATATATATATATTACATAAAATAAGCAAGGCAATATATTTTAAAATTAATTGTATGGGTGAGTTGGTGCACTAGTGTCGGCAGCACAGTAAACGCCTAACGGTCAACGTGCTTAATTTGGGCCGGGAGGGCCGGGCCGAATAATGGTTGAAGTATCTATGTGTTAAAGTGAAAACTAAATAAAATTTTATTTTTACAAAAAATTAAAAAATATATTTAAATTTTAATTACTTCTTAAATTTTTTTTATTCATTTGTATTTATTCATTTTCACCTATTTTATAATTTTTCAAATACATATCATATAATTGACATATGATAAATTTAATGGATTTTTCAAATACATATCATTTAAAATTGATTCGATGGTTTGATTTTTAAAAGTAGACATTATCTTTTATATATAAAATGTTGGGCTATCTCTTTTAATTGTCTCGATTCGATAAGGTAAATGAACCTAACTTATAAGGTTAGTAGGTTACTCCTCTTATTAGTACTAATTAATTTTGGAATGAAACCTCACTAAGTGTATTTAAGCTCACCCATATTTGAAGTAGGTATGGTTTTCTTATATGCAATGTGAATGTCAAATAGATAAAAATAATGAATATGTAAAATTTAGTCTTTTTGTTCGTGGATTAAGAAAATATCTTTCAAATTAGATATAAACAAATATGTATTTTGACGAGGAGCTAATTATGCACATTAAATAGGATTATAACAAGTAAAACATGGAGATAGTCACTAAGTAGAAAAAATGGATTATGTAATTGGAATATTAATAAATAAAAGAGATAAAAAATATTAAATATAAGAATTTAGTATTTATTAAAAAATAATTAAATACTCTTTTTGTAAAATGCTTTCATAATAAATTATCACGTTAAACAATACTCATTTAGTGAAAGAAAAAGGAGTAAACTGCATTCTATACATATATATATTTTTATTAGAGATGCAAATTCGTATTAAGACAATATTATGTTGTATCTCAACCAAAATCTTATTTATCACTATGTAATAATGCATAAATAATAATCATCATAAAGATACTTGGTCATGCATAATCATACATTATTGAAACTTTGATTATTCAACATAAATGATGTGATGCTTCTACTTAATTTGTCATTTCGTTTATTTATAAACAAAGAAAGGTGCCTTCTTCTTTCTCACTTCACAGTATAAATAATATATAATTAGAACAATAAATATGTTGAGGTTGGCCTAAAGCTAGCCCTACATACTTTAAAATTTATGAAAGCTATAAGTAAATAAGTATACACTTATCTTTCAATAATCAACACTGCAGCCAACCTCGAGCATTATACAAGTGATCAAGTACCTTTTCTATTAGTTATTTTGCTTAGGCTTCTATCAAGTAAATTTTCAGTTTGAAAAAATATAAGACAAATCAAAACCTCGAGATTAACTGTTATTATATTATAATTCTAATGTTNGAGACGATGACGACAACAATAATAATAATAAAAATAATAATATTTTTTTCAAATGCAGGACTGCGAGTCTGCGACTTCTTGCCAGCAATTTACTGAGTCAACAAGGAAAAAAAGGGAAAATAAAAGGAAAGGCGCAAAATATAAAATAAATATACATCAATATTGTTATCCATACGTTGTGTCCCAGCTTGCTAAAATAGAAGCCAAATCAATTGAAATTCATCTAGCATTTATTTTTTTCTAGTTCTAACCGTAATCTCCAAAGCATTTATTTATTTATATTAGGCTTACACAAACACAAGGGATAAGATGGATTCTGAAAACATGCAATAAACAGGGCGGATATTATGGTTCACTTGGACTGAATATACATGAAGATGAAATAAAATTAAAAATATATATACAAAAATCGATGAGAAAATTAGCCAGCAGACAAAATTCTTATCAAAGCTTGTGAAAACATATATATATATATAATATATAAACTTTGGAGTCTGCCACAGAGTAAATGCTGCACGATAACATATGCCAAGCCAAATTGAATTAAAAAAAAATTAAAGCATATAA